GCCGCGGTTGCCCCGGTAACCGGAGCGGCCCACAGTGGCGACGCGCGCCCGCCCGCCCGGCCGGTGATGGCGGCTCCCGGGCCTCGGTGCCCGGAAACGTAAGGGCCCGGCCGAGGCGAGGCCACAGCACCCCCTGGCGGAAACCCTAAGCCTCCGCGACGCCCGGCGACTTGTCAACCGGCTGCTGTGCCCGGCCAAACCTGCGCCCCAGCCTCGGTCCCGGCAGAGAAGGATCTTTCACGGGGGAATTCGTGCTGACCGTCCAATATTCCCCCTAGACATCACTGTCCTTGCAGCTTCTCCTGGCTACACTTGTTCATGTACCCACCTGCTGCCTCCAGTTGTGGACTCCTTGAGGCCAAGATTATTTTATTTAGCTGTATTTCTCTAGCTCTACCTCGGTATTTGTAAACGTTAAGTTGAAATAAATTGTTTATAAATAACCTGTTCACAGATAGAAAGACCATGGTCAAATCCCCAAAGTCCATCACTCCACCAAAAACTTTCTAGACGGTTAAGAGTTGGGTTGTTGTTTTTTTTTTTTCTGCTCATATTCCTTACCAAGTCGGCTTTCCTCTGAACTTCGTTGTTGCATCGTATGTAAATGTTTGGTGGAAAGTGGATTGCTTTGTGCCCATTCGTTCATTGCTTTCACGTCTCCATTTTGTGTGCTTCGTCCATTTTTAAATGGAATTTCTAAGGAACTAATGAATTGAATTCTGTAGAAAAAATTTTAGACCATCTTGGAAATATACAAGTTAACATATTTTCGTTAAAAAAAAAAAAGCAACTATCTTTTTCTGAAAAGAAGCAGCCATAAATGACTGTACAATAGCCATCTAGTGCAGATGAATTCTTGGCTCCCCTTACCCCAAACACATACCAATTAAAAAATATAAAAAACAAAACTCAATGAAGAAATCCTGAAGGGAAATTGGGATTGAAAGACATAGTTCTGCTTTGTTCCAAGTGACTTTGATAACTCAGCATCAGTTGCACTGCTGACATCCAAGGTCTGAGGTCAGGGATCCTGGGGTGCAACAAGTGAAGGAAGAGCAAGCAAAGAAAACTGCTGTTGCTTCTACCCGAATCCCAGACCACGAAGCAAACTGCATGGCGGTGGAGGCTGGAAGAAGAAGAAATACTCCCACAATAGAAAGCGAGCCTGCTGTCTGGGTTTTGTAGACTTCTAGTATTACCACAAACAGGAGTCTGGAAATACTCCAGTGAGATTTGCCCAGAGAGGAGGGGGAGGGGTCCTGATTGCTGGATTAAGAAAGCCAGGCATAAAGCATAAACTGATGCTGTAGTTTAGAGTTGCTCTGGAATGTGATGATTTGAATGAGACCGGCCTCCTGCTGGTGGAACTGTTTGGGAAGGATTGGGTGTCTCCTTGTTGGAGGAGCTTTGTCACTGGTGATGCAATGGCTCAGGTTATGCTGATCACTAACTGTGTTTAAAAATTTAAAATTTCTATGCTTAGGAAAACCATAACGCAAAAGTGAACTTCCAAATGTTATGTGCTGTTAACGGCTTATTTTTGTAATTGCCTGGTCTTGTACAACTTTGACAAAACTGCTGTTTCTGCTTCATAAACAAAAGCTTGCTTTGCAGGAAATGACCTGCTTGCGTGTAGACAGGATGCAACTTGATGTTCTTTGCCTTTTAAAGCCCCTGACTGAGGTGGCTGGGTTCTGTGCTGCCCCGGGGAATTATGAGTGCTGGGTGTAGACCTGGTGCCGGTATATGAACAAAAGCCTCTTCTTTAATATTTGTTAATGGTCAGACTGGAGAATCTCTGAACTACCTAAGACCCATAACAGGGGTAGGCTTTGAAATGGCTTTCAAAAGCCCATTCTATTCCCAGATCCTAGAGCTTGTGGATCAAGAAGTGACTTCTCAGCTACTGGTTCAGCAC